AACTGCTTTAAGCTAATTAAATATTATACCACTTACCTAACTAATTACAAAGCAATTAAGCTAATTAATTACAACATAAATTAATCAACTAATCTACTTAAACAATTACAACATTTGCAAGCATCAGCTACAACTAATTAACTAGGCAAGTTAACTAAACGGCACCTCGGGAAACGCGGGATGGATGCATTCATGCTCAGTTTCTCCAACCGAAAAGCCACTGTTTTGTTGCTGCGAGCCTTTGTTTGTGCATTTGATCACTGGAAATTTTGCCAACTTCCAGAACCCTTCTGCTTTACTTCAGGAACCGACTATGGAAATTTTATTGGTGGCCGACAGGGGGCCTGTCAGCAACCAATGGTGGCCAGTCGGCTACTGGTGATGGCCGGTCAGCCACTGATGACATGAACTTCTATTTTTGCTAGAACAGAGAGCAGACAGAGCAAACAGTGTATTCTTACAGTTATTTGCACACTTGGCCTCTCCTTTTTGTAGGGAGATCAAAGGAGGGGCAAAATTTAGGTTTACAAACCATCAATAAAGCAACTTCATTGCATGATGGTTTCTGAAACCAATTGTGCACCTTCAATGAATGCAAAATAAGACCAGAGGACCATCACCCTATCATGCATGATCAAGGGTAACGGAGACCAAGGAAAATAGCACATTTCATCCTTTTTAAGTATGAAATGTCTCATTTCCCTTGTGTTCAAACTAACGTCTGATTTGAACACATGCAATGCAACACAAAAGATGCTTATCTTCCCTCTTTTACTTGCCCAATTTTGTTTACTCATTTTAATTACCAAAACCATTCTTTAATTGATTAAGTCTATTACTGAGTGTCCTCTAATGGAAAGATAACTCAAACAACAAGTTGCTTTGGGCATGACAGAGGCATTACACTGTTGGTAATGAACCCCCTAAGGGATTAAACCATTAGGTGCAACACCTCCATTTCACACTTAGGCAAACAAGTGGTTTGAAACCGTTTTCAAAAGAAACAAAAGAGTGAAGAATGGAGGGAGATTACAGAGATTTTAAGTCCAGAAATGAAGTGCAAAACAACAACTAAACATGCTATTAACTCAAAACAATGATGATTAAAGCATTAAAACATCAAGCTAGTGAAAGAAATTAAACTACAATTATGCAATACAAGACTCAAATGAATTAACCAATCTAAAGCAACTACAAGAAATTGCACTTTTGGCGACTACTTTTGGCGACGACGTCAATTTTGGCGACGACGTCAATTTTTCATCGCCAAAAGTATATTTTTTGCGACACAGTGATCAATTTCGTTGGTAAAAGTATACCTTTACCGACGCAATTTGTTGCCGTCGCTAAAAAGGCATAAGATTATTTTAGCGCCAAATTTTTTGGTTGGCGCCAAAATTTCAAAACTTTTACCTACGAGGCTTATGTTTTAGCAACACAATGAGTGTTGCTATTAGTGTACTTACTTTTGGCGACGATAAGTTGGCATGGGTAAAGAGTTAACCATTTAGCGACGATGACACTATTCGTCGGTAAAAGTTTTGCCAGTGGAATGATGTGATTTTGTGATTTGTGTTTTTGATTACAACTTTTGAAAGAGTTTTAAATATTTTAGTTATTGAATTGTAAAATTAAAATAATCATTGAATTAGATCACAAAATGAATCCATTGAGCCCAAACACACTCTTAAGTTGACATGACTAATTTGAGATAATTTAAACTTTTTCAAAGAATATGGTTAGATTATCAATTTCAATATGTTTGTTTTTATTTTCAGAAACTAGTTTCAATTTTTTTTCCCTAAAAAACTAAAAAAAAAATTGGGTGAAAAAAAAACTTATTATTTTTGTATATTTTTATCTTTTAGGTCATAAATACATTATAAAATTATAAAAATATAAATTTGATTTTTATTGCTTTCAAATTATTTTTAATTTTTTCAAAAAAAACAAATCTAAATTTTTTTTTTTTAATCTTTTAGGTCATAAATATTTTTTAAAATTTTAAAAATATAGTTTTGATTTTTATTGCTCCGAAATTATTTTTAATTTTTTTTAAAAAAAAACAAATTTAAAAATTATTTTGAATATTTTATTTTATTTATTTGTTTGGGTAGAGCAGGTATAATCAGCGGTGCCATTTCCCTCTTCAAATTCCCTCCTTTTTTTTCCCTCATCAAATCTCCCCAAATCAATCTCCACGATTTCACTCTTGCACATCCTTATCTCAGAATTCGTAGTTCTCTCTCCCTCACGATTTCACTCTTGATCGTAGGGTTTGTGCCGTTTGCTACTGCGGTGCGAGATCGGTGCTTCAGTCTCCCATTACAGGTTTGTTCCCTTTTGCTTTGTATCTCAATGCCCCTGCTTCTCTCTCTCAATTTCTTAAATGAATCTATGTTTGTCTATTTTCACTTCTTCTATTATTTAGATTTTGGGATTCTCTGAAGGATGCTTTTTCCAAACAAATTCCATGCTTGATTTGGGGAAGATGGGGCCTTTACGGGTTGTCCAGTACAATATCATTTTGAAATGCAAAACTAAAAGGATATGAAATTTTAATGAACACCTAACCTGAATCCACATCAAACGTTTAGGTTAGAACATGGATTTGCCTCTGTATGAGAGGATGCCTGTGCCCATTCACCAAGAATTTATTCATCTTCTCAGTGGCCCTCTTACTTCAAATATTAATAAGAACCCACAGTGACTATTTATGTTAGGTAATAAAATAAGAACACTTCTACTGGTGCATATGAATAAGAGAGGCTTTACAATCTGTTCCATCTTAAACCCAATACAAGTCACCAATTCTGAGCCTATTAGTGCCCCTACTATGAGTTTTGACATTTCGTCCTTGCCCCCAGGGCATAGAGGTGGCTTATTTGTCATACCTTAAGTAACCCACTTCCATGCTGAAGCTTACTGGGATTCTCTTTCATGTAGCCTTGCTCACTGAAGCACCTATTCAGGAGTTGAAATTCTGTCTCACAAAGGAAATGGTCTATTGTATCCAGTATAAGAACACTCTGGAGACAATGTAATGTTAGAAATAGAGGATGCAATAGATATTATACCATAAAGCTTAAGGGTTTTTTTTATGACTTTTTACGTGTTTAAATGTGAATATAAAAGCGTAAATACAATGTTGTAATTGAAAGCACATGCTTTAGTAGTTCAAATTTGCAACCAACTTAATTTAAAATTTGAGAACACATGCTTTAGTAGTTGTATATAAAATGGCTGTTTGGTTTCCACTTATTTGCAACTTATTTTGTTTAAATTTTGACAACACATGCGTTAGTAGTTGTACCTAAAATGATAGGGTGTTTGGTTCCACTTATTTTGTTTTCAGCTTATTTTTCTTTTCAGCTCAAAAAAAGTTTAAATAGCTTAGTTTTTTAAGTTGGGTTTTAGATGGTTTTTTAAGCTAAGAGAGTGTTTGGGGTGTACTACAAAAGTGCACTTTTTATTTTTGATCTTTTTATCTTGGGCGAATTATACTAACGGTCCCTATAGTTTGAGGTTTGTGTCACTTTGGTTCCCGACTTTTCAATTGGTTCATTAATAGAAAATTTAGAGGCAGTGGCAGGATGTAATTTATGCTAGGGCTTTTTAGGAGGGCTGAAAATCCCATTTAGATAAACATAGAAGTTTCATCAAAGAGGGGGTATTGATTGGTGTAGTGGTAAATGCTTGAGTTCCCGTGTATGAAAATATGGGTTGGAATTGAAAAATGTAGTCCCTTCCCACAAATATTACAGAGGTTAGGCCTGTAGCCACCCTTAGTCCTTCCCTATGCCCTTAATTTGTAGGAGCCATTAGGTAATGTCCTTTAAAAAAGATATTGGAATGAATTGGAATGGTACATTGCCATGCCAACTGCCTTTTACCATTTAACAGACATTAAAAAAATATATATATTCTTGTTTTTTGTTGATAAATGTAAAAAACACTTAACTTAATACATAATATATGCAGATATAATAGAACTTTAAAGGATTTGTTGGTCGAAACCTTGATACAAAATTAAAAAAGCCTATAGGTAGATGCACCTTTATTGACGATGATGTGTCACTCTACACTTATATTAACTACTTTTTCTTCATGTTTAAAGAATAAAAAAATAAAAAATAAAAGGTTGTGTACTATTAATATTAACTACTATCTTATGATCAAACATGGACAGGAGTTTGATGTTAATTTCTGATAGATTCAGTCAGCCATATGTAGATGGGGTGAACTCATTTATTGAATTTGCAAAGGTTCATTTGGGTGTCCTTTAACAATTGATGTATGATACTATCTGCTGTTGTTTTGTGGTTTTGTTTTTGCTTTCTTTGGTTGTTCTTGATTGGATATAAACTCCATGCTAGAGCTCAACCAATCATGGCATGGAGACAAAAAAAATCTTCCATTTTCTTTATTGGTTAGTGGTAACTACTAACAAAATGATGTACAAAAGAGATCTCACATTATTGCACACCAATGAGTGAGTGAGTGGTTGTGTGTGAGTGTGAAAGAGATAATATAAAAAGAAAAAGAAAAAGAAAAATAGAGAACAATATATAAGGTCAAAGGTTATCTGTTACTCCCATTTTACGTGACATGGAGTTTTACTTGGGAATACTTTATTCTGCATTGGGAATTTCTTTTGATGGAGGAAATCTAACCTTTATAAATGTCCTTTGAACTCGCTCCAATGGCGTCTCAGAGTGTAATTTGGTTCGTTGGCTTGGACCAACTGAGCTTGCAATTGGCCTCCTCACTCCTTCGCTCTGGCTATGCCGTACAAGCCTTTGAGATCTGTCTTCATTTCCCATCTCTCTGTTTGTTCATTGAATTTGTTCACGATTGAATTTAGGGCATTTCGCGATTGAATTTTTTATTCCAAAAGCAATGAATTTTGCTCTGTGTTTGAATGACTTTGAATTTTTTATTCCAAAAGCAATGACTTTGACTTTGATTCCAGAAGCACTCTGATTGTAATTAATAAACTTTGATTGATATGAAGGGAGATAAGGGGTTAAATGACTTTGATTGGTAAAAGGAATATAAGGGTTCAAAATGACTTCGAATAGTATATTTAGCTACCTAAAGAAACACCTAAAAACTTAGAAGGCACCAAAAACTCAGTACATTTAGCTACCTGAAGAAACACCTAAAAATAATGATATATATATATATATACTTTTGCATCATAGTTGACTGAATATGTTCTTCTTTTATTTTCTCTATAAATTGTGACCTTATTTTTTTGAAGAGCTAAAAATTGACTTTCTGATGCTTCCTTCTCTCATTTCTTTGCATGCAGATGTTGTAGCTTTGGTTGTATTGATATCTCATACAGATCAAATAAATGACCTAGTTTTTGGTCATGAGAGTGCTTTAAAAGGTTTTGTGGAGATCCTTAATGTTTTCTGAATTTATAATTAGTCTGCTTGGTTGATGTTCGGAATATACTATTTTCTGGTTTTGCAGGGTTACACAAAGATGCTGTCATCATTCTCCATTCAACCATACTACCTGCTCATATACAGAAGCTCGAGAAGCGACTCACAGGCAATTCATTTTCTCTAGATAAAAAAAATATTTGTATAGAATTTTCTTTTATACTCTTGGTTAACTTTTCTGTTCTGTCTGGTTTGTTGGTGGATGTCGTCGTAGTTTTGTGCTATTTAGTTTTAGATTTATCGGCAGCTCAACAGTGTGTTATGATACTCTTTCTTTTCTTTTTTTTCTGTTTCATCATTTTTACTCAAGATTTATCATAGACGGCCATAGTTGTTCTTATCTTTATTTTTCCATTAATGAGATTATAGAGCTTTAGCAACTTTTTAACTCTGCCTAGTGGATCATGCCCTCCATTATTGATATGAAGGTTAATGAGGGCAGGGGAGGTGAGTTGAAATGAAAGGACAAGGGAGAAAGTTCATAGTTAAATCATTTTATTTTTTCTTTTTTTGTTTATCTTTTGGGGAAGGTTTAATGTCTATCTTTCTTTTTTTGTTTTGTTTTTTGTTCTTCTGTCTGCAAATCTCTAATGTACAGGGGTGATGACCCTTTGTGTTCTATGAATCTATACTTTATTTACTTATCAAAAAAAGCAAAAAAGAAAAAAAGAAAAGAAAAGAGAAGAGAGTAGAACATTCAATAATAATGTGTTCTTTACTGTTATACCAAATTTATGCCTTAGGGTCATGTTTGATTCACAAGACTAATAGTGAAGTATTAATAATCCTATTAAATTAGTGTGGTATTCACTATCCAATTGGATTAATATCTATTGGATTAATAATCCCACCCCTACCCCATTACTAATAATCCTACAAATTTGTTGGATTAATTATCCATTGGATTAATAATCCTAAACCAAAATGTTAAAACAAACATAGGATAATTGGGCCCACGGATTAATAATCCCAATCCCATGCTCTAATCCACCTAATCAAACATGCCCTAGAAGTTTACTGGTTACTAGTTACATCTAACTTAATGGAAAAGCAAAAGAAAGAATTTGGTGTTTGCTCAGCTTGTGCTAAACTTACATCTGCATTGAACATTTTCTAACTCCTCTAATCATTAATCTGTTTCTACTCTAGTAGAGGATTTGGAGAGAGTTTTTGTAGTTGATATATATGTCTCTAAGGGAATGTCAGAGGTTTTGAATGGCAAAATAATGGTAAGATTATGTATCTCATATCCTATTTCTTCCTCACATAAGTAGAGGATCATTTTGCTTTTGTTTTGCTATTTTATAGCTGGCTAAAGCTGATATTTCTATAATACGCAGATTATTTCATCAGGACAGTCGGATGCCATTACAAGGGCACGCCCTGTTCTCTCTGGTACAATCTACTTACGTCACTACTCTGCAACACTTGCATGAGGATTCAGTTTTTTGATCACTACTTTTAAATTTTCTATTACATCTCTAAGACAAACTATTGTGTTTTTCAAATAGCTATGAGTGAGAAACTTTATGTTTTTGAGGGGGCACTTGGTGCTGGAAGGTGGGATTTCTTCACAATCTTACCAATTTCTTTGTCATGTTTAGATTTTAGAACAATTTGAATTGTGTTGTTGAGACAAATTTTCATATAAAATTGGTGACAATTAAATTTAGGGTAAAAGATGAAGACAAGAAGAGAGAGAGAGAGAGAGATATAGAGAGAAGAGAGATAAATACAGGAAAAGGCTAATGAGAGACACCAAAAGTAGGCACATGTTCTCTTCGTATACACACATATGTTTGCATTTTGTCTATCATCGACTGAACCAACCCAATTTGCATCACTAAATGCTTTCAATTTTAAGTGATCATGGTTAGAGCACAGGATCCATTTCACAAGAGCTTACTTGAGATACCTCTAAATGAACGGTCAGGCACAAAAATTTTGGCATGATCAAGGAACTCAGATTGTTGTGTTCTTCCTCTTCCATGATTATGTCTTATGTTATTTTATTTTGCAGTATGTAACTCTAAATTAAGTTAATAAAGTTTGATTAAGTAGCATGTACTTGTTATTTTGAAATGATAGTTGAAATGAGAGAATAAATGGAGGGAGCAAAGTCATCATTGGAGCCACATTGCTAATATATAGCATTTTGTCTCTTTTTATTGCTAAATTATAACAATATTCGGCATGTAGCTATTAAACCATTGGAGACTAGAAAATTCACAAGACAGCACCAGGAAACCATAGGAGATTTTTTTTAGTTGACAGGAATACAAGAACTGATAGGCTACTTCTTAGTAGTGATATGGCTTTGATAACATGTAAATATCGGAGACAAAAAGTGGAATTAAAATTTGGTTAAAAAAAAAAACTAATGGCTTTGCGCAAAAAACAACACCTGGCCTAATATTACACTAGCGATTGTGTAAACCAAGTCAAATCTAATTTACTATAAACTTACAACTAAATGATTCTTGAATATTCCAATACAAATTTAAGTAATTTCATATCTCTGAACAATACTTTTCAAATGATAATATAATTGTGTCTTGGTTGTGCCACTTGATAGTAAATTTGTTTGTGCTAGGTGTTTAACCAAATTTAACAGGGATTGGCACAGGGGAATGGCCCTTCTTCTTTGTTTATTTATGTTAGGTGTTCTAATATCATATTAGATGATGTTATTGTTAATCTCTACTTTTCTTTTTTAAATTGCAGCAAAATTAAAATGGTAATAGAGCTGCTTGAGGGCATTCATTTTGTTTCTTCCGTGGAGGCCATTTCTCTAGGTGCCCAAGCTGGTATTCATCCATGGATAATTTATGACATTATTTCTAATGCTGCTGGAAATTCATGGTAAATTATTGTTCACAATTCTTTACTGAGCACTATGTTGTGTGTTTAAAATTTAAATATTTCTAGTCCTAAAGCATTCCTTATAACCATTCTGATCTGAAATTGCCAATTCTAGATCAGGCACAACCTTGATAAATGAGACTGCTAATAATTTGATTTGCATCATGGGCACCAGTTGAGGCCATGGCACTGATTGGCACGTTCTGTTTCTAACAATGAACTGATTTTGTAGAACCCATGCCTTTAAAGAAATTAGTTGCAAAATTTATTGAACACTGAAAGCCCTTCTTGTTATGTGCTTACATGTATACACATACATGGGAACATCTGTTTACTTTCAAAGATCTGTGCATTTTTATACTAACTCAATAGGTATTCAAGGTTTTGGTGGTTGGTGTTGGTATATGTAAATGCCGTAGTTAGTTTTTTTTTTCATGACATTCCTGGAATTTGCTAGCGTTTTCTTAAGAAGATACTGTGTTACCTTGCTACTAGACATCCTTCCGTTGGATTCAATTTTACAAGGTTTTCAAGAATCATGTTCCCCAGTTGCTAAGGGATAATCAAACCAAACATCTCCTGAATACTTTTGTTCAAAATTTGGTAAGTTTTCTCATGTTGTAAGTTTCTTAGTGTTGTTCAAGTGTATTACGAGTAATTTCTTTTCTTCTTGACTTTGAAGTTAAGTTCAATGGGGGTTTTGGGTGAATTAAATGCCAACTGCAGTTTTATAATTCCATTCAAATTACTCTTCCTTTCTTGTGGTGGATTTAGCATTTAGGACATTTACTTAAGGACCATCTGCTAAATGCATACTAAAATTTTAGACTTGAACACCACTCGGTAATCATTTCTTCATCAATGAATTTGGACACATTGAGACTTTCAATAATGATTTTTAAAAGCTCTACAACATAAGAAAACAGATTTAAGTTCTGAGGTCTAATTTTGTTGAAAAATCTTACGTAAATGTCTCAGGAGCTAAAACTGCCTTCCTATTATTTAACTCTCATGCCTCAAAACTATTTCCAGTGTTGAGTTCTTCTTGCTTGACCACGTTGCTAGTAACAAAATTTTCCATCTTGTTCTCACAATTGATTTTCAGTGTAATATAGTTGAAATCTCAGTTCTTTCATTGAAAACATAAGCCCCAATTATTCACATGAATGTGTGACATTGTGATGCAGAAGTAGTAAGTAGAAGAGGACAAATCCCAAGCAAATAATGTCAAGTTTGTCTAGTTAGTATGAAGTTTGTTTATTTATGAGTCTTCATTTTATTCTTGATTAGAATTTGTTAGTCCCCTATTAGGAGCTTTAGAATGTTCTGGATGTATTTTATTTTTAGGGATTTCTTTGCTATGGTTTGCGTGTTGGTTAGTAGACTTCTCTTGGGCTATAATCTAGCCAATTACTTGTTTAGAATTACTTATTTTGGTAGATTTTGAATATTTTACAGTCTCTAAATGGGGTAATTTTTAGAAAGTTTAATTCTCATTATGGTTTACTAGTGTCCACATAAAGAGGCCCCTGCTTGATTATGAATTTAGAGTTGGAATTAAAGAGCCAGTGTGGAAATTCCCTATTGACTTGTGTGTGTATCTCAAGCCAACCTTGTGGAGTAGGCTACTCCTTTCATGCTTTTGTTTTCCTATTTGCTGAATTTATGTCTAATTAAAATCTGTCTAACAAGTAACCAGACCTTAATGCAAGAAGCACTAACACTTCTACTCATGTGACACTTTTACTCATCACACTGCCGAGTTGAAATGGTTTTCTGAACTGGTGATGATCTGTGTTGAATCAGTTTGCTGATCTGCTATACTAATCTGCTATTCTTCTGGTGCTACTGTGATGTTGCTGCTGTTGCTGAGATGCTGTGGTGATGCTGCTGTGATGGTGTTTGTTACGATGGTTTGTAGGTGAAATGCTGTGCTCAAGCATAACTTTGTTCCCATTGCCTTCTGCAAGCTCCACCAAAACTGAAAAGTGAATCGAGGATCACGATCAGACACGATGCTAACCGGCACTCCGTGTAATCTGATCACTTCTTTGATGAACAATCTACTAAGTGAATCCAACGTATCTGATGACCCGACAGGTAAGAACCGGGCTGTCTAAGTTAATCGGTCTGCCACCACCCATACGCTGTCATGTCCCTGTGGTGACCGAGGCAAACCCGTCACAAAATCCATGGTTATGTGTTCCCATTTCACTCATATTGTGTTGCTAAAAGTGTATTTTTTGCCAATGCCAATTTATCGTTGCCAAAACTAAAGCTTTATCGACAACCAAATCGTTGGAAAATGGCAACATTTACCGACATAAATGTGTCGCTAAAAGTTACTTTTCCCCACTCATATTGTGTTGGTAGAAGTGTATTTTTTGCCAATGCCAATTTGTCGTTGCCAAAAATAAAGCTTTAGCGACAAACAAATCGTCTGCAAATGGCAACATTTACCGACGTAAATGTGTCGCCAAAAGTTTACTTTTGCCGACGCATATGTTGTTGCTAAAAGTATATTTTTTGCCCATGCAAATTTGTGTCGCGAAAAGTGCCACACAATCATAATATTTGAATGACTTTTACCAACGCAAGGTAAATTGCCGACGATGGATGGAGGCTTTTAGCGACGACTATATTCATCGCTAAAGGCATTACTTTTACCAACGCAATCATAATTTCGTCGGCAATAACTTTTGCCAACTCACTTTTGCCTACGGGTTGCCAATGTAGCTTTGTGTGTCGGCAAAACTCTTTGCCAACGAATTTTCCCTTTTAGCAACATATTTCGTTGCGTTGAGAAAAATGCAATTTCATGTAGTGAGCAGAGCCAAAAAAAGGTAAAAACAGAGCTTAAAACATGCTGGACTTGAGCCATAAAAGGCTAAAATAATAAGCTAACATGTGAGACTAACTAGGCATACAAACAAGGCACATGGAGGGGAGGCTAACCCCTCTAATTTTGGACTTCAAAACAAAGTTTTTACCACTTAAAAACCTCTTAAATTCAGTGGTTAAAAGTCCCAAAAAAGTTGGTTTCAAAGTGATGAAAGAAAGATACAAAAGCTTAACAAGCAAAGCAGCAAGAAGGGTGGACCACCCCTAACTTAAAATGACCTCAAACCATCACTTTTAAATCACAAAAATAGAGTTTTTGACAGTACAAAACCAGCCTAAAAATAGTTGAAATAAATGGCAAAACAAAGATACAAAATAAGCTTAAACAAGGTAAGTGCTATACCTTTGAAGCAAAGCACAAATTAGGCACAAATCCAAGCTCAAACCTCCTTCTAGAACTTAAACAAGACTCCACAGAACCTCAACTCAAAGATGGTTAAGTTTGATGAAGGGTTGGCATGCAAAAGTATAGAGTAACTAGGCAACCAAGCACAAAATTTCAAAAGAGAGAAAGAAAGCGAGAGAGAGAGAGAGAGAGAGAGATTTTTGCTCTAATTTTTTTAACCCTAAAAAATGGGGTAGGAACCCTCCTATTTATAGAAAAATATCCCTTGAGCTGGGAAACATCTCACCATACATGTGTATGGAGATGCAACTCAATGTGCAACAATTGGCACAACTGTCTATAAATATCTGGAAAAAGGCACTGGTGGCTGTCGGCCACCACTGATAGCCGACCGGCCACCACTGGTGGCTGACGAACCACACCCATGGCCGACAAAAACATCCCATGGCTGACAGGCCACCAAGAGGTCTAGACACCAAGTTTTGGTCCAAAACAAGTCATAGAAAGAACAAGGTTTAGAGGTTCAAAGGCAAGGCATTCCGCTGAGGACTTCGAGCGCTCAAAACGAACACAAACAAACACAATCATCAAGTGCACAAACGATGATGTCTAAGTCTTGAGGATGGTCAAAAATGGGGTGTCTACACATACCTAGTGCGTTTTGGTTCGAGGCAGACATAGAGCCACCAGCACGCACGCTCAACATAGGCCTCGACGGTCAATTAGGGAGCCTCTTCGGCTTAGTCAGTGCATCAGACTTTTGTTCTGAGGGGTGAGCAGGTGGAGCAGAAACCTACAAGACATGTGTATGCTGTTACTACGCCAAACCTAAGTGCCAGCACCTTCAGTTGTGAGAGGTACTTTCTTGTTATGCAATTCTATTGGTAATGTTTTAATTGATACGAGTGCATCCCATTGATTTATCTCATTTTCATTTGCATCGGTGTTGGGGTTAGAATTGGCTCGGTTAGCATCTCCACTTAGTATAGAGTCACCTATTAGTGGTGAGATTGTTTTGGAACAAGGGTGTCGGGGTTGTTAGATTGCCGGTCGCTGACTTCCTTTTACATTTGTGTTGATTGACATGTAGAGTATTGATGCTATATCGGGTATGGATTGGTTGTCATCGTATCAGGCTGTCATAGATTGTTACCATCAGAGGGTTACTATATATACCTTGAGCAGTGATTGTTTTTATTTCATAGGGGACAGAGCCGATAGAACTTTATCACCAGTGTGTGATCCGCGAGGGCGAAGCGAGCTTAGTTGTCTTCTTGCAAACTTCTTGGGTAGTGAGTGTGATGAAGTCCGAGTTGATTTTCCAAGGGTAGTTTGTGAATACCTGGATATTTTTCCTGAGGATCTCACTAGTTTACCACCTCATCGTGAGATTGAGTTCTCTATTGACTTAGTTCCAAGCATGGCACCGTACAGGTTTACACCCACCGAGTTAAGTGAGTTCAAGATTCAACACCAACAATTGATAGATAAGGGTTTTATTCACCCTGGTACTTTTCCTTGGGGAGCACTGGCTCTCTTTACCAAGCAAAAAGATGGTACATTATGACTTTGTATTGATTACCGAAAGTTGAACCGGGTAACTGTTAAGAACAATTACCCAATGCCTCTAAGGGGTTTAGTCTCCTTGGATATGATAGCCCTATAGTTCTGACTCCCATGGTTCTCAATCTGGTTTCACAAGTGTAATGTGAAACAAAAAGAACACAAATGAGTCCAAATCTGGCAAATCTTTAGAAAATCCATTTATCATCGTATATGCCAAAAATGGACTGCATTGCTGAATTTCAGAGTTACCACCTAAAGATTTTTAAGAAATTTAGGAAACTCGTGACTCGTGCCAAAGGCCACTTGTCCGCCATCACCAAAGTGTCTCAGCTCGGGAACTTAGGAATAAGATGGGAAGGTCATGAATTGAGCACCCCACTCACCCGATCAAAGATCGACCTCTGCTAATCATGATGTGATTTTTATTAACATTATATGCTCATATTCAGATTAATATGCTAACTTTACTAAGTGAAGTCAAACAAGTATAGACTAAGTCACTCACTTTGGAATGCTTTGATTTCATGTTTGTTTGAAAAAAAGAGTTTTGAATATGAACTTGTTAAAAAAGTAAGATCACATACACGTGAATCAAATAATTTAGGCGAAAAAGCCTTCATCTACCGACATTCAAGAGGTATATCAAATAAGCACTTAGCCTCATGGTAATATACTTGATATGGCAACACAAAACATACATGCAATATGCTAAGGCGAAAATGCTCACGTAGTACTTAATCGATTCAAGCCCAAAAGAAATAAAACCATTAGAAAAATACATGCTCTACTATACAAGGTGACTAATACAACACATACAATATACAACTACGAGGTTTGGTTTTTTAAAATGTCATGTGAATCAACTTAAAACATGCAGTAGTACATGTGTTCAAGTAAGTAAGAAATCACAACATTGTTAGAATAATGAACCGAACCCAGTGCATACAAAAATGGATATTAAGCGTGGCAATGATATGAGAATGTAAAATGTGATGCCACCATTATAAGCATATAAATAAAAGGGAGAAAGAATGGGGGTAGGAAGACATACACAAATATTAAAAGTTTGCTCTCATACAAGAGGGTTCGAATGGCCTAATGAAAACTAATTATTACAACACCAAATTAACTAATTTAACTAGCTATTACTATTTTGAACGAATCTAATGAATTTAAACATACTATTATCAAAGCATTAAATTAAGGGACCATGGGAAATGAAACATCACACGCGCATGAATGAGAACTTCCCCCCCGGAAACCTCTTTATTTTGCTATCAGAAGCTGTTCTATTTGCAGTCAGAAAATTAATCTGTTTTCCCCTAAATTTTATCTTTGTTCTGCCATGAAAATGGCACTGCTTGAATAACATAGTGTGATCGGCTGGCCGTTGAAAGTGGTCGGCCGGATGAAAGGTGTTTTTTGGTACTGCCCTGCTGCCGCAGAAATGAAACTGAGCAAAATCAAAAAGTTTCCAAGGGATGTTTCTTTCCATATCATGACACTGATCAAGAGAGTAGACTCGATTCACAAACCATCAATTGTAGCAAAGTTGTTGTGTGATGATCCATATCGATAGAGCAAAGGTTCAATAAATGAATAAAAGACCAACAAAACTATCTCCCTATCATGAAGTTACTTCAACGGAAGTAGTAGACATTGATTCTTGAATCATTAACATCACTAAAGAGTATGTAATGATTTCAAGACTTAATGGGTTCAATATAACATCGGATTGAACCCAACTCCATTTTATTAATTTTTACCACTTTTATTCCAATTCTAACCTCTTTTTATTACCTTGCCATTCTTTATTCATTTTGTGCAAAAGTGATAATTACGTCCACTAATGAAGAGAAGTGTCAAACATGAAGTTGTGCTTAGCATGAGAGAGAGAGAGAGAGAGAGAGAGAGAGAGAGAGATGTGATGCCCTGGTAATGAACCTCCGAAGAGATTAAACCATTGAGCATGGAAGGTCTCTTTCTCATGCCTTAAACAACAATCCATTGTTTGAAACAACTCTTAAACAAAGAAAACCAAGAAATGAGGGAGGTTCCAGAGATGATTATTA